AGGGATGAAGCTCCCACAACTTCCAAAGGCAACTTCTGTTCCATGGGTGGATTGCTCTCACTGTCAGAAACAATATATAAGTATAATCTTTATTGTCATTGTAACTTAAATACAACGAAATTGGTTCATATTCATATACTATGAAGCAGTATATAAGTCTAAGGACCTGGGGAAGGAAAAGGAAGGCAGGTATGCAGAAGGGCGGAGATAATCTTATCTACTGGAAGAGCAATTGCTGCGTAACATTCCTGCCTTGGAAAATATTTTTAGATATCAGCTTTAGAACAGAATAGAATCCAAATAAAATTACCCTCTTAAGCTAAAAAGAAAAACAAACAAACCTTCCTTCTAAATAAAACGGATTTATTTGCCATTGGGAAAAAAAAAACCAGCAGTATCTGAAAATCTTGATCATATTTCTGAAGGTCTCCCAAGAGGGGCAGGGGGGAGACACAGATTTGAAGAGGCAATGTCCCAACTTTCAGCCAAGTCACCTGCCCCTTTTTTGTAAATCACGGCGTCTGCTTTATCTGTGTCAGCTTGCATACACACACACAGAGACACAAGTATAAGACACTTTCTTCCCCCTAAAAGAGGGTAAAAATGTGGGTGCGTCACCCGCCGGCCCCACCTTTTGGCCTCTGCCTCCCAGCAATTTGCCTCCTTACAGCCTGTTTCAGTTTCAGCTTCAGCACAGCCTGATTAGCACAAGCAGCTGATTGTCAGTTGGATCGGCCTCTACCATCAGCTGTTTCAGGTTGCCATAGCCTATTGCTGCCTCCGTGTGCCCCATTTTTGGCTTCCGCATCCCATTTTTGGCCTCTGCGCACCCCATTTTCCGCATATTCCAATCCCCGCTGCCCAGAACAGGTGGAAAATGGGCCCGCAGAGGCCAAAAACAGAACCTGCGGAAGCTGAAGATGGGATATGGAGGACGAAAATGAGGCGTGTGGAGGCGGCAATAGGCTATGGCAATCCTGAAACAGCTGATCATTGGGAAGCCAATCCAACCAACAATCAGCTGCTTCTGCTAATCAGGCTGTGTTGAAACTGAAACAGGCTGTTTGCTGTTTGCTGCAAGGAGGCAAATTGCTGGGAGGAAGAGGCAGGGTTTTTTTTCTTGTTTTTCTCCCCAAAAGCGAGGTGCGTCTTATACTTCGGAGCATCTTATACTCCAAAAACTATGGTGTATATTCAACCCAGCTGGTCATTTAGCTAGAAGTATTCTTTGTGAAATCAGAGTCTCTGTGATATAATTCACATACTTTCATCAAGAGTGCAACACCGGCCCTAACCATCTGGCCTGGCTTTAAATTAAGCTTAAAAGAGATGTTATTTCAGCCTAATTAAATTATTAATTGGTCTACTCCCAGAGAGAACGCGGCCCCCGTTTTCACAAGCTCTAATTTGTTATTTTGAGCCCATCAAGCAAGGCAACACTCATTGGAGTGGCGAAGTTGCCTAGAGGTGGAGCTCTTGCCTCACAACCAGGAGGCTGGGAATTTGATCCCAGGTAGAGGCAGATACTTCTCTCTCTGGGCATAATGAAAATATATCTGCTGAACAAAACTCCGCATTGGCAACAGGAAGGGCATCCGGCCATTCAAACACTCTGCAAGCTCCATTCAGCTGTCCAGACTCCACTCCGCAAGGGATTATTATGGGGTTAAATGAAGATGAAGGGATGCGGGGGCTCAGTGGCTCAGACACTGAGCTTGCCGATCAGAAAGGTCGGCAGTTCGGCGGTTCGAATCCCCAGCGCTGCGTAACGGAGTAAGTTCCCATTACTTGTCCCAGCTTCTGCCAACCTAGCAGTTTGAAAGCATGTAAAAATGCAAGTAGAAAAATAGGAACCACCTTTGGTGGGAAGGGAACAGCATTCTGTGCGCATTCGGTCTTTAATCATGCCAGCCATATGACCACGGAGATGTCTTTGAACAGTC